GGGGGAGGATCATTTGAGACCAGGAGTTCCAGACCAGCCTGGGCAACATAGTGGGACTCCATGTCTATAAACAATTTAAAAATTAGCCGGGCATGCTAGCCGCATGCCTGTAGTCCCAGCTACCTGGGGGACTGATGTAGGAGGATTGCTTGAGCCTAGGAGGTCAAGGCTGCAGTGAGCCAGGATGGTGCCACTGCATTCCAGCCTGGGTGACAGAGTGAGACCCTGTCTCAAAAACAAAAAGACAAAACTAGCGTAATTCAAATTTGAACATGCCCTAAGATAGAATAAGTATATCCCTTCTGATTGCAGATTGTTACCTGAGGGTACATTCATTCCTAATGACATTGCTACTATACTTGACGTCTCACCTTGGGAGAAAAAAAGGTCAAGAAAGTTTAAGTCAAAAAAAGTCACAGTCCAAGGAGGAGAGCTTTCCTTGATTTCAGTCTCTCCCATCTGTACGTGCCGTTCACAGTTAGAATCACACATTGCAAGTTCCTGGTGATTCCGGGGCCAAGGGAAGCAAGATTTATATATTGCGGAGGAGAGTGCTCCAACCTGAATTGTAAGATGCGTCTTGCTCTCACATTCTACCTCTTTGTACTAAAAATTATTGCATTTCTAAAACTGTAAAAAGGAATTGCTTGGCTTTTCTAAGTGTAAAATCACCCAGGTGAGATTATTTTTCCATGTTACAATGCCCCCATCATTCCTTGAGATGTACTGAGCAAGACGCCTTGTGGGAGGGAGTTTAAATGCACAGACGTAAGCCCTGCAAACCCAACACTGACAATCTTTACATTAACAAGAACACGCTTCTAATTATTCCAAATTCTGTTAAAATTAAGCCCAAATGTTCAATTTTCCACGTGTTCCTCTTAATTAGAAATGAAATGAAAGAGAAAAAGGAACCATCAAAATTATATAAATAAAAACAGATGGAAGGGAGTATTGGAAGCTCTCTTCTATAATAACATTCCCTTTAATAAAATTCATTGGTTAATTTGGTTGATAAAAACAGCGTTAAAATTAAATAAGAATTAACATACACTCGGATAAATATTTGTCGCTTCTTTCATGTGCTACCGTGATAAAGGTAATTTAGCTTAAAAGCAGTCATCATCTTTCTTCATAACTGATAATGCATTACTAATTGTGTGTGTTAATATGGTACAATATGGAATTGAATAGAGATTTTATCTTAATAACATCTCCATTAAATTAAAGACAGTGTTGTATGACAGGAAAGATAAGTCTGTTTATTCCAAGCCAGCACATCAAAAGAACAACTGCAGGAGATGGTGCAGTAACTAACATTTTCCATAGTGTTCTAGCTGGCAGCATCACATTTATAGTCACTGTTGTAAGCAACACTGTTCTGTGGGATAATCTAGATAATGTTTCATTGAGAAAAGTGTTATTTTAATTATGGTGTGAAAGATACGGATCTTTTCCTTTCTGTGTCTAATAGGATATTTCTACAAACAAGATGCTGAGTGGAAAATCATCTGATTCTGTTGCACTAAAATAACCATCCTTTGAGGCAATTTCGCCACCCCTGAGCCTCTGTGGGCAGGACATGAGGGGTCAGGGGTTACCAAGAAGAGAGTTGACAATAACAACTGGACTGGGGGAATGAGGGGGCCGTGGTGTCAGTGCCTTCCTCCTTCTGTCTGACCTGGGGCTGTCGTGTGCAGGACTGCCTTCCTGCCCCAGGGCGGTGCACTCAGCTATGTCCCTGCAGGCTGGTAGACCAGGATTCCCTCCGTGCATTAGCCAGCAGACGGCCCGGGCTGAAAAGGGGGAGCTGAACCCTGATGGAAAAGAGGGAGTCAGAGTCCAAAGCCCAGCTCTCTTCCCCACGTGAGCCTGGGGAGCTCAGCTCTGCTGAATACATCATTGCCTTGGCACCATCTGCCCTGGAGGACCAGGAGATGTTTGGAATGCCAGTTGTTGTGTCTGTTCGTTTGGATTTTAAAAGCACATGCCACAAACTGCCTCTTCGGAGACTGTGGATTTGCTGTGACTGTGAGATGCTGTGCCTTGATATGCTGACATTCTCCCATGTCATCTGTGCCTCTGGGAGCGAATGTCCTCCAGCCCTACAGACACATGCAGGGCCTCGGAAGACGTGTCTCCTTACTGCCACTCCGGCCACACACACCTGATAAGAAGCAGCATTATTGTGAATAACCAAAGTCAATATTAAGTACTGGATAAGAATGAAAGTAGTTTGGGAATAATTATAACCACCCCCCCACCCCCAAAAATATACTGTTCAAAAAGTCAGTCTGGAGACGCAGATAACAACCCTATTTTTATACCAACCCGACTGAATTCTTAATACGTGGCAAAAAAGAAAATCATGGCTTACCGTAAAGCAGGAGATGTCATAAATAATGAACTGCACTAACAGCTTAGCATCATAAGGAGACAGATGGAAAACTTCTCTCCCGAGATCACTGCTTCCAAAATTTGAGAAAGGGCTTCTGGACGTGTTCAGGGTGGATAGTTCAAGCCTGAATTTCAATGAGATGGGAACACTTTTTAGTATAAACGCAAGATTTTCATGTCTCCCTTTTAGGAAATACGGGGATTATGGCGTTCATCTGTTTCATCCAGGACTGGAAGCAAAACCCTGAACCTCAGACTCTTCCAGCATGTCTGATTCAGTCAAACAAGGGAAGATGCTGCGGGTGCTTTGTATGCTAAGGAAGTGCTAGGATGCCATCGTCTGTCCAGGAGAAGAAAGGAACACCCATCCATGTGGTTAAGCTATCAGAAAACTGGAGCATTGGGAATAAAGAAATTATTTCCACGAGACAAGCATGCCAGCCATTGGCTCATAATGAGCTGAAAGACCAATGACTGCTTCTCAGAGACTCCCAAGGGCCCAGTGTCCTGGCTGCAGACCTGCGGCTGAGTCAGCATGGTGCCAGCAGAAAGTGAGGGGAGGGTGGCCAGTGCTGCCCCGCCAGGCCCTATCGGCATCACCTGGAGCAGCACGGACCCTTCAGTCTCCATTCTTTCTTCAGGAAAGGGGCCTACTCACAGATGGACACACCAAGGTTCAGGTAACCTCAGGAAGCTCATTTACTCCCACAGTCCTGGCCCATTGGGCTCTCTGGAGGCCCTTCTTCCTTGGCTGTCATCTATTTTTAAACTGATATGTAGTAGTTGTACATATTTATGGAGGACATGTAATATTTTGATACTTGCATACAATGCATATTAAGTCAGGGTAACTGGGATATCCAAGACCTCAAACATGTATCACTTCTTTGTGTCGGGAACATTCCAAATCTTCTCTTCTAGCTATTTTGAAATATACAATATATCATTGTTAACTATAGTCACCCTACTGTGCTATCGAACCCTAGAACATATTCCTTCTATCTAACTCTATGTTTGTATTCATTAACCAACCTGTCTTCATCCCCTTCTCCCCTCTACCCTTCCCAGTCCCTAATAACTATCATTCTACTCTCTGCCTCCATGAAGTCAACTTTTTCTAGCTTGCACATATGAGTGACAACATGCTATATTTATCTTTCTGTGCCTGGCTTATTTCAATTACCATAATGACCTCCAGTTCCATCTATGTTGCTGCAAATGACAGGATTTCATTCTTTTTTGGTGGCTGAATAGTACTCCATTGTGTATGCATACCACATTTCCTTTATTCATTCACCTATTGATGAACACAGGTTGATTCCCTATCTTGGCTATTGTGAACAGTGCTACAATGAACGTGGAAGTGCAGGGATCTCTTCAACATACCGATTGCCTTTTCTTTGGATATCTACCCAGCAGAGGGATTACTGAATCATATGGTAGTTCTATCTTTAGGTTTTTGAGGAACCTTTATACTGTTATCCACAGTGGGTGCGCAATGTGTGTTCCATCCATCGACAGTGCACAAACATTCCCTGTTCTTCACGTCTTCACCAGCATCGGTTATTTTTTTGTCTTTTGATAGTAGCCATTTTAACGGAGGTGAGATGATATCTCATTGCGGTTTTGATTTGCATTTCCCTAATAATTAGTGACGTTGAGCATTTTTTCGTATGCCTGTTGGCCACTTGTATGTTTTCTTTTGAGGAATGTCTTTTCAGGTCATTTGCTCATTTTTAAATCTGATTATTTTTATTATGTTTTTTGCTATTGAGTTGTTTCAGTTCCTTACATAGTCTGGTGATTAAGCCCTTGTAGGATGGGTAGTTTGCAAATGTGTTCTCCCATTCCGTGGATTGTTGCTTCACTCTCTTGACTGCTTCCTTTGCTGCGCAGAAGATTTTTAGCTTGATGTTACCCCATTTGTCGATTGTTGCTTTTGTTGCCTATGCTTTTGTAATCTTACTCAAAAAATATTTGCCCAGACCAAGTCTTCAAGAGCAAAATTTGCACAATATCTGATTAGGGTCTGGGGACCATTCAGAGCGAGTCCCCTGGGGGCACCTGAGCCAATAGGTGATCTAAACCTTCACCACAATTATGAGCCATCACATCAAATAGCCCATTTCTTCCAAAACCCAACTGACTCTTTACGGGAACTGTGCATTTAACAATGATGAAGTCATGCTTCCTTATCATGGGGACACTACAAATAATGGGGTGCTCTAGTTTCACTAAAATGCCTCAGATGAACTTTCCAACCCTTAAACACAAATGAATAGTAGCATGGACAGTCAAGTGCAAGCTCAAGTTCAAAATGCCAAAACACAGGATATCAGGCATAAGATTAATTTACCTCTTACTTGCAAGAAAAGGTAGGAAATGATAAAATCAAAGGCACATGTTTTCAAAACCAAAAGAAACAACAATACATACCAAATGTTAACAAACGAGATGATAATTGTGTCAGTAATTCCCAAGGTCAGGCTGGGGGAGAGTGTAGTTGGGAAGACACTAAAACTCAGAAATTGTGGGTTCCTCACTGTCTACTCCTTCCAGCACAGTGGAATGTGGACTGGTCTGAGAATGTGATGCTATTCAGGACAATAGGTTGTAATGTGATGGGGCAGAGCTTATCTTTTTTCTTTTCTTTTCTTTTCTTTCCTTTTCTTTTGAGACGAAGTCTCCCTCTGTTGCCCAGGCTGGAGTGCAATTGTGCAACCTTGGCTCACTGCAACCTCCACCTCCCGAGTTCAAGTGATTCTCATGCCTCAGCTTTCCGAGTAGCTGGGATTACAGGTGCCTGCCACCATGCCCAGCTAACTTTTGTATTTTTAGTAGAGACAGGGTTTCACCATGCCGTCTAGGCTGGTCTGCAACTCCTGACCTCAGGCGATCCACCTGCCTCAGCCTCCCAAAGTTCTGCGATTACAGGCGTGAGCTTGTTACTTAGAAAAATGTCAAACTTATAGAAAAACTACAGTAATTACTCCTATATATCCTTTATGTAGATTCACAAAATGTTCACATTTTGCCACATAGGCTCTGTCTCTCTCTGTGAACATATATAGTTTTATGTTATTTTATTTATTTTTTGCTGAGTCTTCTCAAAGTTGTAGGTATGATGATTCCCTACATACTTCGGGATGCATCTTCCATAAGTGAGGACATTCTGTTACAGAACACATTCACTCTCATTTTCCATTACTGCTTTGAAGATTACCACAAACCTAGCAGCTCAAGACAACACTCATTTATTATCCCATAGTTTCAGTGGGATTATCCCATAGCCTGGGTATGGCTTAGCTGGGTTCTTTGGATAGGGTTGCACAAGGCTGTAATCAAGAGTGGATCAGGGTTATGGTCTCATCTGAGGCTTGCTTGGGGAGGAATCTGCCTGTCTTGGCAGAGTTCAGTCCTTGCAGCTGTAAGACTGAGGGCTTCAGCTTCTTGTGATATCTCTGCGGGAGGCTGCTTTCAGCTCCTAGAGGTCACCCTCAGTGCTTCCCATCACAGATAACCCACAGCATGGAAGCTTGACTCTTTAAAACCAGCAAGAAAGTGAGAGACGCCAGCAGGAAGGGGTTACAATCTTACATAACACAATCATGTAATGATGTGCACATAACTGCAGACTTCTAGTCACTTTTGCCATAATCCATTGGTTAGAAGAAACTCATAGGTCTTGCGCCTTCTCAAGGGAAGGGTGTCACACAAGTCAAGAACACCAGATGGGTTAGGTGCAGTGGCTCATGCCTGTAACGCCAGCACTTTGGAAGGCAAAGGCTGGCAGATCACTTGAGGTCAGGAGTCTGAGACCAGTTTGGCAAACATGGTGAAACCCTGTCTCTACTAAAAATACAAAAATTAGCCAGGCATGATGGTGGGCGCCTGTAATCCCAGCTACTTGGGAGGCTTGAGCCCGCGAGTTGAAATTTGCAGTGAGCCGACATCACGCCTCTGCACTCCGGGCTGGGTGACACAGTGAGACTCCATCTCAAAAAAGAACACCAGGTGGTGGGACCATGAGGACCACCTTAAGTATCTGCCATAACATTACACAATGACCAAATTCAGGAATTCACATCCATATTATCCTTCTCAATGTATTGTGCCTGATGTCAGCTTGTCCCATTGTTGGTGATATTAACTCTGATTATTTGGTGAAGGTTTCTTATCTGTTAAATTTACCAATTTCCATTTTGTAATTATTGTCATAGCCTTCATCAAAATTTCACCCCACCATTTTAGCAAAATTGCTGATTCTTTGCCTGATTCAATGATTACCATGATGACTGCAAAATACTGATTAAAAAAAAACACTCCATCATTCTTTTTTAACTCTATTATTCAACATGTATTAGTTGGCAATTGACTGTAAGAAAGAGTTTTCCCTTTGTTGTATATCTGAGGGTATTTCCCTGTTCAGCAGGTCGTCAGGAGGGGCTGCAGGATAGAATATAACATGCATATGGCCGACATTAAAAAGTAGGTAAGTGTCACCCGGGGAAGACACCAGACATGATTTGAGGTCTTTGAAAACAGACAACATGCACACCTGGCTCGAGTGGCCCAGCGATGACTTGCAGCCAGGAGAGAGAGAGCATGCACGCAAGATGTAGCCCCTGGCATTGCGCTGGACCCCATGGCTGGCGGGTCCACTCCATAGGTGATGTAGGCAGTGTGATCACATACAACCCACTTCAAGGGCCCCCAGCTCTCCCCATGTAGGGTCTGAAATACAAAAAGCTGGGCATGTGTCTGATGGCCATCAGCCCACATACTGATGTGGACATGGAATTTGTAACAGAGAGCGGTATCCCCTCCCAGGTGATAAGCCCAGCACAGGCTATGCAGGCTCTTTATCTTCCCATGAGAAAATGTTCAAGGCCCAAGACCCATCTTCCACAGCTAAGCAGGATGCACTGACCACACGTGACTGCTTTCCCAGTAGTGACTATGTATTTATGCAGGCATGGACTTGAGGAATCTTATTATTTTAATGGTTTAAAATATATGACTGTCATGACGTGTTTAGATGCTCTCAAATTGTCCCATATTTTGGTCAGTGGGAGCCCTTTCAAGCTGGCTTCTGTCTCCTGAGTCCTTTGAACATGTCCCCAGCATTCTTTGAGTACTTCCTCACGTTCGGACATTACAAGATGGTCCAGGTCAATCTTGTTCTTTCCTGTCCCAGTCCTGGAGTCAGCCATTTCTCCAAGCAGCCCTGGTTTCTTGTATAGGGAAGTGGCATTTAGAGAACGAGATCAGTGTGCATGGGAGAGTTTCAAACAAAGACATGGATGATAGAATTGGGAGAGGCCACTGCAGTGGGTGGGACATTGGATGCCAGCTGTACTGTGGGTTCTTGAGAGGCTGAGAGTTAACTATCAGCGAAGTTTCCTTGAATGCCCCCAAGTGTTTTGAACCACACTAAGCCCTGAATGGGTCCTCTTTGAATGCCTGGCTGATTGATTCGTTTATTCATTGACTGTATTTATTGCTTGACAACAGAGCCAAAGTTGGTTCATTAGATGTATTTTCATGGACTGTTGCAATAGGTGCAATAAAGTGCGTGAGCAGCTTGGAGGTCATCCAGGCCACACCTCCATTTGGCTAATGAGGCCTCTTGGACCTCAGCAGGGGGAAACACCATCTCCAGGTCATACACACTTGGCCG